CCCCCCCCGCCCCCCCCCGCCCGCCATTCCCCGCCACGCCAGCTCCCCCGGCCCCTGCCCAGGCCGCGGCCTCCTCCGCCGCGCCGCCGGGAGGAGGTGCCCGAAGGGGTGGGTGTCTCCTCCTGGCCCAGCCCCACGCAGCGACGGCGGGGCGGGGGAGAGGGCGGCTCCGAGGGAGCGGGGCGGGGGCGCCCGGAGCAGCCCGGCCCCCACCGGCAGGGTCGTAGCCCCTGAGGCGGCCGCTCTTCGACCTCGTGCCTCCGTCTGTCTGCTCGCGTTGTGGAGGAGCCCACCTTCAGACAGGTACGGTGGTGTCACCCGTGGGGGCGGGAAGCCGTGAGGGGACGGCGGTGGGTGTGAGGCGGTGGGTGTGAGGAGGCGGAGATGGGGCCTGGGAGCGCGGTGGGTGTGCGCCGGCGGTGGGGCCGAAAGGTGCCCGGGCACCGGTGTGGGGAGCGCGGCGGGGAAGGGTGGTGTGGGGCCGGCCCGCCCGGGGGAGAGCGCGGAGAGGCCTGTGAGGGGCAGGGGTCCCCGCTGGTGAGACCCCACCTGGGGTGCTGCGTCCGGTTCTGGGGTCCCCAGCGTAAGAAGGACATGGACCTGTTGGAGAGGGTCCAGAGGAGGGCCGTGATGATGACCAGAGGGATGGAGCACCTCTGCTGGAAGACAGGCTGAGAGAGCTGGGGTTGTTCAGCCTGGAGAAGGCTCCAGGGAGACCTTAGAGCCCCTTCCAGTGTATGAAGGGGGCCTACAAGGAAGCTGGAGAGGTTTCTTTTTACAGGTGCATGTAGAGATAGGACAAGTCATAATGGCTTCAAACTGGAAGAGGGTAGATTTGGATTAGATAACAGGAAATTTTTCGCTATGAGGGTGGTTGGAACTAGATGATCTTTAAGATCCCTTCCAACCTAAACCATTCTATGATGGCAGTGGGGACTTGGCTTGGCCGTGGGGCTGAAACAGGTGGTAGCAGAAACCCACAGAAGCATGGGCTTTGTTCCCCGTACTGCTGGCTGGCAGGTGGGTAGAGCCTCACCTGGGGTGTTTAAACTGATTTAACAGCTGTGTGTCTTCTTACTCCTGTGCCTCGTTAAACTGATTTAACAGCTGTGTGTCGTCTTACTCCTGCACCTCGTCTCTCCTCAGCTGTGTCATGGTGTGCAAAGGAGAGACAGGAGGAGAGGGATAGCTTGTTTCAGCACTCAGGATAAAAAGAGAAACAAAAAAAAATACAGAGGAAAAAATAATGCTTCTGTCTTTGCAAGCACCCCTATTATTTGCTTCTTTTATCATGGATACTTGTATTTGCGCCATACGTTTATCTTATGAAATCAGCTCTTCAGTATTGCTCGGTTTCCTTTAAACGTGCCCTGTACCTGTGATTTGTCCATGACGTGATAGCAGGGATGGAGATCCAATGGCTTCCGCTAGAAAAGGAGTTGTTTTGCAATGTCTATCACATTAATCTGTTCAGTGCTTTGTTCGATTGCTTGGAGCCTCCAATTAGAGAGATGAAGATACCATAGTGAAGTAAGGGTTTGGTTTTTGGTGGGTTTTTTGATGCTGCATTGAAGTACAGAAAACCTTGATTCAGCCTGCCTCCAGAGGCAGTTCTCTGGGCAGTAACTGCACCAATAATACGTAAAAATGAAGTGGTAGTTGCGGATTAGACTGCTTCATCTGGCCTGTAATCAGACTGTACCTCCGTCTTGTGCTGAAAAACGAATGGCTTGTTCTGTTCTGGGTGGGGAGGGGTGGCTAGTGGGGCAAACTAAGAGCTTGTCTGTCCCTGCAATTCTTCTACAAATCACAGAATCTTAGTGGCTGGAAGGGACCTCCGAGATCATCGAGTCCAACCACATAAAAAAAAAAAAAAAACCAACCAAAAAAACCCCAAACAAACAAACAAACAAACATCAAACAAAAAAAAAACCACAACAACCAC